CAAGCATTACCTTTAGCTCTTATTACCTTTCAGTTACATTGTTAAAAAAATAACCTATATATCACTAAAGAAGCTGACACATAAGGAGAGCTTGTTAAAATTCAGTCATGCATGGGCATAACAGATGCCATAAATTCAGCACAAATGCAATAAGCCACCAACTCCATTTTTTTGAGCAAGAGACTCTCCAAAACCAAGAAACATTAAGACTTACCAAATTTAAGGCACAGCTGGATCTTACAGCAACTGAGCTACATGCCTACCAGGCTCTGGGACCTAGACGTAGGTGCCGATACTAGGGATTGTCATAGTAAGGATATGGATTGAGGATCCAAAGCAGGCACAGAAAGTAGCACATAAAACAACATGTTAAATAGTAAATAGTAATATAAATAGTAAATAGTAATGTAGCCCAGGGATGAAAGGTTTTTTGGAGAGAGCTGTCTGGGTGGAGGCTTTGAACTACCAGCAAATAAACTTCTGCTGTTGTGGAAAGAGGAAATGTCTTGAAACACAGGAAATTTTCCAAGTGTGTGTCTGCATATAGAACCTGAATGTTAACCAGTTGCACATGTCACAGGGAAGACAATATAGAAAATATATAAACATCATACAGACCAAGGGTATTTAGACACTGGCTAGTAATTCTGCATTGGCTAGATGTAGATGTGATGGCACCTCTTATTTCAGGTAACCACAGGGGAAAAGGAGACCAGCGGCCTAAAAACAGCTTTTCAGTACAGAATTGTTCATTTTCTGGTGGCTTCCTGGACTGGATAATGAAGACGTGAGGTACACACTATGGAAATACACAATTGCTGCATTTATCTTTTTAGTTCATATCAGATGACTTGCAAGACTTTACAGGTTGAGATTCAATCCTGTGATAATCGTGTGGTGTCCCACAACACATTTTCTGCAAAAACTGATCCATTAGAGGACCATAGGAAAAGCAGAAGATGAAGGCTGTGTTGTGTAACATGTTACTTAGCATGTTGTTTAGTATCCTAAGCTAAACACAGCTTTGTGCAGATGCCCTACCAATCACTCCTAATGCACTCTGCCAAACACCCAAAATGACTGGGCTGATGACCAGTTTCTTAATATTCAGAAATAGGTACCAGTTTGGTAGGCTGACAATATGCCACAGTAATTTTCAACACAAATAATGTCAAACAAGAACTGGATAATGACCAAGCTAGGAAACGTGTGAAATTCAAAATAATTTCAAGTTAAAACAAGAGCCTCATTCGTTGCCATGGGATTTCAAGGTCACTGACCTAAAGCACAGCTCATCTCACATTTTGTGCTCCTCTTTCCTAGCTTTTATAGGAACAAAAATATAAAAAGAGCTTGTCTGATAGATCTACATCTATATCTAGCTCTAATTCAAGCTGTGAATTACACCATTCTAACAGTAAGGCCTGGCACCACAAACAGGCTTCAGAGGCAGCAGCACTAGCATTTTTCAAGTTACCCACAGGGTCATTAAGTGGTTGGCCAGTGAGATGCTGGATTCTCATATCTAGCCTGAGTCTGGCAAAAGCACCCTAAAACAAGTGTTTCCTTAAAAATTAGTAGGGTATGGGAACAAACAGGTGCTCTGAGTTTTACAGAAATTCCCCTGACTATGAGGGGAAAGAAAAGAAAACAGTTTGAAGATACTTAGGTATCCCTAAATACACATATCTTACTTCAAAGTATTCCAGTAATAATGTACTGTTAACATACTCTCACAGCTTAACAAAGCACAAGACAGAGGTAGCCCAACTAAGTTAAGGAACGTGATAAATACTATTTAAAAGCAATATATAGACTGGTAGTTTAAAGAAATTTTAAATACAATTTATGATCTCTGAACTTATTTTCTAGACATAAAAGGGTGTTTTCTGTTAAAAAGAAATCACAGCAAGAAAGGGACTTTCATCCGAACAGTATGTTTCTCAGGAAAATTTATTTGCATGCCTTGAGCGCATAACTTCAAGCTTTAAAATGTTTGTGTTTTTTCTAATTCCCAAACTAAAAATGTAAAAAATATCTCTACATGGAGGATTTCTTCTTTCTCTCTCAGCTGCAGACCTATTTTGCCTCAAGTTTTTAATAGTTCCACAGTAAGCAAAAGGAAAATGAAACTGTAATTCTGTACTCTGTATTGTTTTCTGAGTTGAGAGAGTTGTGTAAATTACAAAATGAATGAGGAGGAACTGAAGTGAAAAAATTGCTCAATTTCCCCTCTGAATCAGAAAGAAGCAGAAAGAAGGGACTGAAACTTGAAATTCTGAGAAATCTGTATCTATCATTAAAGAGCAAAAACTTTGAGAAAAAATTCCATTTTGAATGCTACAGTATTGAAGCGACTTAAAAGTATTCATTAAACTACCTTCTATATTTTGTGACTTTAGCCTTGAAATCCAAGATAGTTGTCATTTCTTGCTGAAGCACAGCCTTTGGCAAGTCTTCAGAAGTTTGATTATAGGAATGGAAACACTACAGCACAATTTGTCCTGATGACACGAAACAGAATGTTTCATCTTTGAAGACAGAAGTTGTAAATTGAAATTTGGGCAAGAAAAATCTTGGGGTTTTGAAACACAATCTATGTATTCCTTCACCAGCACCAGAGATTATGGCCTCTGAGAACACCCAATACCAAACTTAGCATTTCTGGGATGCAACTTAAAGGTATCCCAGCGAATTAATTCAGTTTAACCTTGAAAAAGATCTATGTCTTGGGAAAACAAGTGATGTTTTAAAATACATTTGATAAGAAACTGGGAAAATATTTAGCCAGAATTATGTGACCTGTGTTAGCTGCAAGGTCAAAAAAGTGATTTCTTAGTTATCCCTTCCTTACAGACATCCCATAATACCCCTGATTTACATCTACAATTTTCAAATACCACTTCAGATAACAACCACACTTGTATGTTTGTTTATGTTAGCTTACTGTGGTCACTCATAGCCTACTGGTTTTTAAAAACAAAAAAATGTGATAGTCATGGTGACTTAAAATACAGTCTCATTTTCTTGGGATACATATGCCCTAAGAAACAAGTGTGCCACCTATTGATTGACCAGCCACCACTTAAGCATACCCTTCCTCTTTTTGTTATGCTTACATGCTCCAGCAACAACATTTGAGGACCTTAATGAACTTCAGCTCAAAACACTGTGTCTGATGAGGACTTCAGAAGTTTCATAGGCAAAAGTTCAAGTATATAAATACTAAGGTGTTTGGTCATTCCAGTTAAACAATCAGATTGGTTTCATTTAATGCAGTTTATTTGGGATTATAGAGGAAGTCTATGGTCTCAACTGCTGGCTTAAAACTTTCACTGCTGAACCACCTGTCTTCTTCTGAGTGTTTCTGAAGAAATTAAGTACATATGCACACCTGCACTGATGTTTTATACCACTACCAGCACTCAGAGATCTAGGCTGTAGATCTAGGCATAAGCTGTGGCTGCAAGTCATCAGTTTCTAAATGATAGTGCTATGCGATTTGCCATTTGCAAAGTATGATTAATACATTTGCTAAAAGTAATCATATATTAATTTAGTTTTAATGCGGTCTAGAAGAAAAACTGACTAGAGAATACAGCTACACTGGGAGGGCACACTCCCACACCGTACACTTGGTGCAGGCAGGGTGCCTGTGAAAGATGAAGACTTACAAATCTCACTTGCAAGCCAAAAGAATGACAGGCTTGTTCTTTGTTGGTTCCCATTTTGCTGGGTTCTTTGGTTTGGCTTTTTTTTTTTTTTTTTTCCTAGAGAAAGAGGTCCATTTACATTGATATTGAGGACTTTAATGTGTGAAGTAATGTAGCAAACTGAAATGCCAAGATGATATGTTGTAAATTCATCACTCCCTAAGCCAGCTGCTTCTTGTCAGAAAAGGAAAGTTCCTTTCAAGTGTCTTTTGAGACTGATATAAAACAAGTTATATGACAAGACTGTTTGTACTGTATGTCATCAGGTATTTCATAAAGCATAAATTATGAGTGATTTTCTTTTTTTTTTTTTTAATGGAAAAAAGAATTATTTCACAGAAGCAATCCAGCAAATAGTAATTCCACTTCTGATGTTTCAGGAAATGAGATATGACTCCCCCAGTGGTGCTTTCAGAATCACTAGAAAGATAATTTCAAACACCTCAACATGCAAATTTCCAACACTTAAATTCAACAAGTACTTTGATTTAGCAGTAGCATATGCATTTAAGTCCCTTTTGGAATTAAATATTTAAAATGTTGTTTCGCAATATTCTCACAAATTTGTTTTTAAGCCGTGCTTGATTTATTTTTGCAAAAGCCTTAATTTAATCAAATTGATGGGATATTTGGCCTTGCTCCTTCATAGGAAAATACATAAATTCTGTAGTGGCTTTATCAAAAGCTAAGTAATGAAATTTCATTAAAACTTGTAGCTAATAAAGTTCTTATTCACTTTATTAGGTATTTAGTCTCTAGAAAGCTCTTGAATTTCATAATCTTCTATCCTTAATACAATTTGTATTATGCTGTATTTTTGCTGCTAGAAAAAATTATATTTCAATAAAATATTTCTGTCATTTATGACTATTTGTCAGTTGTGAATTCTCATGACATTTTGTAACTGTGCTCCTCATTGCTCCCTTTCCTTTGCTTCCTTATTAGTTTGTTGTTGCTTAATGACACCCTTAGAGTATTTTCATAAAATTAAATTAATTTTTTTTCTTGATATATTTGCATGATTGTGCCAAAACATAACAAAAATACTGCAATTATATGGCTGTCACACAGTGCTTGATTGCCTGTACTCATGGCAAACACAGATAAATGAAGTCAGAAAAGATAATCTCTGCAGAATGCATTTCCACAGAATGATAAGACCACATTTATTTAGACTATGGAAGAGGTAGGTGCCCACAGTGTGCTCATGGTCCTTAGCTCTCAGGCGCATGACTGAACAGAAGATAATACTGGACTAAGGAACAAAGGGATGTGCTCAAATCTCACCTGTTGTGGAGTCAAAATGCCACAAAAGCACACAGCTGGAGGTTCTTCTGTGTCCCGAAGGTTAGAGATGAAAACATGGCATGAGTAATGGTGCTGGGAAGGGAAGAGTATGCTCATCTTTCTCCTGGTCATCTGCTGTTGTCCTTCTTCCCTTCTGTCTGTCTGCCTGCTTCACAATACAGGTGCATACTCTTCACAGAATCTGTGAGAAGGTACTGGCTGTGAATTTCAGACTACCCTCTCATTTCCCATCAGTGAGAGACACTTTAGTCTTCAAGGATAACTGAGCCCATTGCTCCAGGAGTGTATTGGAACACGGTGATCATGCACCTAGTTACCATGTTCCTCTTCTTTCATACAGATTCTGCATTGTCATAGGTCTCCCATGTGACAATTCACATGAAATAAATCATAGAATCATAGAATCATGGAATAGTTAGGGTTGGAAAGGACCTTAAGATCATCTATTTCCAACCCCCCTGCCATGGGCAGAGACACATCATGCTACACCATATCATCCAAGTCTCTCCAACCTGGGCCTTGAACACTGCCAGGGATGGAGCATTTACCACCTCTCTGGGCAATCTGTTCCAATGCCTCACCAACCTCATAGTAAAGAACTTCTTCCTTATATCTAATCTAAACTTCCCCTGTTTAAGTTTGAACCTATTACCCCTTTACCTATCACTATAGTCCCTGATGAAGAGTCCCTCTCCAGCATCCTTGCAGGACCCCTTCAGATATCGGAAGGCTACTATGAGGTCACCACGCAGCCTTCTCCAAGGCTGAACAGCCCAAAATTTCTCAGCTTAAGTAAGACATAACCAATGAAATTTTGCCAGAATTATGTTTGAAATAGCCATAAGAACTACCATTATTGAAGAGAAGAAAAGGAAAAGCTTTTCCAGACATGGAAATCATTGGGGGAGAGTAGATCCCAACCAGCAACTAATCACCTGCCAGCTGCTTGCTCACTCACTCACTCGCTCACTACCCCCAGTCTCTCACAGGATGGGGGAAAGAACTAGAAAAGCAAAAGTGAGAAAAAAATATGGGTCAAGATAAAGACTGTTTACCAAATGAAAGAAGAGAAAGTTAAAAAAAAACCCCAACTGACAAAGGCAGTCACTCACCACCTCCCACAAGAAGACCAATACCTAGCCAAGTCCCCAGGCAGCAGCTACCTTGGGAGGACCACCACCCCAGCTTTATTGCTGAGACTGATGTTATATGGCATAAAATAGCCCTTTGATCATCTGGGGTCAGACACTTGCCCACCCCCAGGCTACTACCTGGCAGGGCAGGGTGAGAAACAGAAAAGTCTTGACACTGTGCAAAACCCACTTAACAACACCTAAAACATTGCTGTGCTATCAACACTGTTTTGATAACATCAAGCAACACCTACAACACAGCAACGCATAAACTGCTACAAAGAAAACTTACTCCATCCAAATCAGACCCAGCACAGAGTTAAAACCAAATCTTTGCCTTCACTATTTAAATTTATCTCTTACATTTCTATCACCTGCCCACCATTGCAGTTTAGAGAAATAAAGATCTGTGAAGTTGTTTGTGAAGCAGGTGACTTGCCTCTACCAACCTACTCCAAAATTTTTCCCTTTCTCCCCTGCCAATGTTAGTAGTCACCTCTACTAACCATTGCAATCATGACAGATGTATCGGCCAGACTTCATGGAATGTCAGTCAGTTATAAACTGGCCATCAAAGTTCGGTGTGATTTCTCCTGCCTGCTGATACACTGGTCAGTATAAATGGTCCTTGACTTTTCACCGCAGTTGTTTTCCAGTGACAGGAGGCCTTGAACTAGAAGATCTTTAAGGTCCCTTCCAAGGTGATTATAGATCTATAAATTTTCTGTGGAGGGGTGATGTTAAAAGTGAAATGAGACACCTTCTTGGGGTTTGCTTACACCTAAAAATGACCCACCAAGTCTTCTGTTACGACAGTACACATTTATCATACTGTAAGGCCAGTATCTGTTTGTGCTATGATCTCAGCAGATTGATATGGCTTATAAAAATAGAACTAAATTTATACTTGCTGTGCAACATCATAAGAAATCTGGGGAGAAAGCAATGAGATTTGTGACTAAAAGGAATCACAGGAGAGAGCTGAGAGCAGCTGTAATTTCTTTACCTATTATTACCTGACTTTGAGGCCACAAAATTATTATATTTGTCTGTTTCCTGTTACTTCTGCAGTTGCTGATAGCAATTAAGCTGCATTTCAAGATAGAAAATGTTATTTAATTTCAGAATTTGGCTTAGTATTTCTTCCAAAATAGCCCTGGCAGGCAAAACAGAATACTACAATGAATTATTACTCTGAAAATAGCACAATTATCTGTACAGCATGGCTTTCTCCATCAGCCCAGAGCTGATAATAGAAAGGAGACAAGTCTTTTGGCCTTCTGACAAAGCTCTGTGCTGGTGTCTTACAGAAGGGCCACAGCCGGTGATGCTCTGACAGATTTGCCTGCGCCTTGCTCTAAGTCGTATAACTGTTTTATCCGTTTCTTCCAAGAGCAGATGGTTTTTTCAACTCTTTTTTTTTGTTGCCAATGAATGCACCAAAGATAGATAGTGAAACAGGAATGAGAAAAAAAAAAGTTAAAAAAAAAAAGGAAGATGTGAAGATGGCAACTTTTAGACAGACATCCAGACTGTTCAAGGCCGGGTTGGACAGAGCTTTGAGCAACCTGCTCTAGTAGAAGGTGACCCTGCATGTAGCACGGGGCCTTGAACTAGAAGATCTTTAAGGTCCCTTCCAACTGAAACCATTCTATGATTCTATGTTTATTAGTTCTGGTCTACCAAGTGAACATTATCTGTCAGTTTGTGCTCCCAGCCCAGAATCATAGAATCATAGACTAGTTAGGGTTGGAAATGACCTAAAGATCATAGAATCATAGAATAGTTAGGGCTGGAAAGGACCTTAAGATCATCAAGTTCCAACCCCCTGCCATGGGCAGGAACACCTCACACTAAAACATATCACCCAAGGCCTCATCCAGCCTGGTCTTGAACACTGCCAGGGATGGAGCATTCACAACCTCCCTGGGCAACCTATTCCAGTGCCTCACCACCCTAACAGGAAAGAATTTCCTCCTTATATCCAATCTAAACTTCCCCTGTTTAAGTTAAAACCCGTTACCCCTTGTCCTATCACTACAGTCCCTAATGAAGAGTCCCTCCCCAGCGTCCCTATAGGCCCCCTCCAGATACTGGAAGGCTGCTATGAGGTCTCCACGCAGCCTTCTCTTCTCCAGCGTGAACAGCCCCAACTTTCTCAGCCTGTCTTCATAGAGGAGGTAATCCAGTCCCCTGATCATCCTCGTGGCCCTCCTCTGGATTTGTTCCAACAGTTCCATGTCCTTTTTATGTTGAGGACACCAGAACTGCACACAATACTCCAAGTGAGGTCTCATGAGAGCAGAGTAAAGAGGTAGGATCACCTCCTTCGACCTGCTGGTCACGCTCCTTTTGATGCAGCCCAGGATACGGTTGGCTTTCTGGGCTGCGAGCACGCACTGAAACTGTCTCATGTTCATTTTCTCACCAACCAGCACCCCCAAGTCCTTCTCCGCAGGGCTGCTCTGAATCTCTTCTCTGCCCAACCTGTAGCTGTGCCTGGGATTGCTCCGACCCAGGTGTAGGACCTTGCACTTGGCATGGTTAAACTTCATGAGGTTGGCATCAGCCCACTTCACAAGCGTGTCAAGGTCCCTCTGGATGGCATTCCTTCCCTCCAGCGTATCAACCAAACCACACAGCTTGGTGTCATCGGCAAACTTGTTGAGGGTGCACTCAATCCCACTGTCCATGTCAGCAACGAAGATGTTAAACAAGACCAGTCCCAACACTGATCCCTGAGGGACACCACTCGTTACTGGTCTCCAGCCAGACATTGAGCCATTGACCACAACACTTCACGTGTGGCCGTCCAGCCAGTTCTTTATCCACTGAGTGGTCCACCTATCAAATTGATGTCTCTCCAATTTAGAGACAAGGATGTTGTGTGGGACAGTGTTGAACGCTTTACACAAATCCAGGTAGATGACATCAACTGCTCTACCCCTGTCCATCAGTTCTGTAGCCCCATCATAGAAGGCCACCAAATTGGTCAGGCAGGATTTCCCCTTAGTGAAGCCATGCTGGCTGTCACCAAGCACCTTGTTGTTTATCTTGTGCCTTAGCGTGCCTTCCAGGAGAATCTGCTCCGAGATTTTGCCAGGCAGAGAGGTGAGACTGACTGGTAATTCCCCAGGTCATCCATATTCCTCTTCTTGAAAATGGGGGTTATATTTCCCTTTTCCCAGTCATTGGGAACTCCATCAAATATATCCTTGGCTGCATCAAAAGGAGCGTGACCAGCAGCATGTCGAAGGAGGTGATCCTGCCCCTCTACTCTGCTCTCGTGAGACCTCACTTGGAGTATTGTGTGCAGTTCTGGTGTCCTCAACATAAAAAGGACATGGAACTGTTGGAACAAATCCAGAGGAGGGCCACGAGGATGATCAGGGGACTGGAGCACCTCCCGTATGAAGACAGGCTGCTAAAGTTGGGGCTGTTCACGCTGGAGAAGAGAAGGCTGGAGAAGAGAAGACCTCATAGCAGCCTTCCAGTATCTGAAGGGGGCCTACAAGGAAGCCAGAGAGGGGCTCTTCATCAGGGACTGTAGCGATAGGACAAGAGGTTCAAACAGGGGAAGTTCAGGTTAGATATAAGGAGGACGTTCTTCCCTGTAAGGGTGGTGAGGCACTGGAATGGGTTGCCCAAGGAAGTTGTGAATACTCCATCCCTGGTGGTGTTAAAGACCAGGTTGGACAGAGCCTTGGGTGACATGGTTTAGTGTGAGGCTTCCCTGCCTGTGGCAGGGGAGTTGGAGCTAGATGATCTTAAGGTCCTTTCCAAACTGAACCATTCTATGATTCCATGTTTTATTAGTTTTCAGAAATAGCTTTCTTTGGGTTAGAAAGTAGCCTTTCCCTTTAGCTTTGAGAAACAACTGACTTATTTTTTCATCACTACCCGTGCCCTTTGGGTATTGATGACTTAATGCGTCCCTCGAAGATTCCTTACCAGCAGCACTCTGGAGTTGGGACAAAATGTGAAGAAATGGAGTAATGCAGGTGTCATGGTGAAATCACTCCAAAAGGACTGTGGAAATTCATGGCAAACGAACTAGCTTGAAGCCGCTGCCCTGGGACAAACGGGAAATGGGAAAGAAGGGGAAGAGCGCCAGCGGCGATATCATCCTCCCCCACGGCTCCCCTCAGGCGGGCCCGGCGCTCCCCGCGCATGCGCCACAGGCGTCTCCTAGCAACCGCGGAAACAACGGGGCTAGACGCTGCAGCGTGATCGCCCTCGGGTGGCACGTCGTGCCTGCCCGTCCGCGGCGGGGGAGTGAGGGTCCCTCCCGGCCCTGATGCCAGGGTCCGGACAGCCCCGGACAGCGCCGGAGCGGGCGAGAGGAAGGCGGCCTTGGGTCTGGGGGAATCTCCGCGGCAAGCCTGTGGCGGAGAGCAGCAGCGGCGCCCGAAGGGGGCAGGTGCCGCGAGGGACTGGTGGCTGCCAGCTCCAAGTAAGCAGAAATAATCTGTTTGGTGTCGCCGGTTAGAGCCCTAACGTCCGAACGCGGTGGCGGGGTGCCGGCGGTGCCGGTGCGGCGTTAGGCAGGGGGTCAGCGCTTCGTGCCTCGCCTCCGGCGGGTTTGGCTCTCTAGCGCTCAGAGAACTGGGGTCCCCGTGCCTGTAGAGGATCAAAATTCATGACCCAAAATTAAAGCAGAATCATTACCTTTTTTAATTGATATTTTAAAAGTGTACATTGAAGTTTCCTTTAACCACAACCAGAAAATCCCTAAAAACTTACTGTCCTTTTGGCAGCGGCATCTACACCTTCTGAACAGCAATGATAATTCCAAGATTTATAAAAAGAATTGTAAGATTTAAGAACAGTTGAAGTATATCAGAATGAAGAAAAATGGCATTTTAAACCAGACAGAGCAAATACTGCACTTAGGACATCCTGACAATATTCCCTATGAGAAACTGGGAGCCTAGGGATTGGTGTCAGCAAAGGTAGGGAAAGGCATGGGATGGGCTAGTTCAGCAGAGGATGACTGTGACCAGTGTTTTTAGATGTGAGCTAGGAAGAAAGAAACCTCAGTGGAAGTGCCTTAAGGAAACTTATATAGTAGAGAAAAAGAATTGTATTAAAAAAATTAGATAGGGAATATGAATAAAGAAAGAACAGTGCACTACAGATACGTAGAATTTTTGTGTGACTGTAACATGAAAAGTATGAAACCTAACATTATATGGATGATAGATAAAAAGAAGAAAAAAAGCCCCAACAAAAATAATAACTTTTTAAAAACAGAATTTTTATCCTAAAGAACACTAACAGGGAATTAGGCTGATTTATTGATATTTCAAAGGTTTTGGAGCATCTGCAGACAGGAATTTCAAAACAAAGTATGGATTTGCTGGCAGAGGAGCATAATCTGTAGAACAGAACCTTTTATGATCTTCCTGGTAATCTCAAATTATCATCTATATATAAGATAGTCCAATATTGTATTACCTTAACCTATACATAATTCATAGTATAAATATTTGGTATAAATAATATATTTTGATAACATGCCAGCAAAGAAAGTAATTGACAAATGTTTGAATATGATGCAAATATAGTCATGCCTAATGACAGTAAAACTGGTCATGAATAAATGTAGAATAAAAATTGAAAAAGGTCCCTGGCTGCTGAGCAATTGGCCAGTGGAACAGCTTTTTAAAGAGAGAAGTGGGAGCAAAATACCTAGTGGTTTTTAGGACACATCAGAATAGGTATCTGGTGGGATTAACATGGTGCAGTCGCTGTGACAGGGGAAGGGAATGAATCTGATCATTCACAATGTCCCTTTCACCTGGTGTCTCTGTAAAACTGACAGAAGGAGCATCCATTTTCAGACGTAGATTGGCACAGCTGGCTAAAAATTTAGGAGTGTCTTTAATTTTTACTAATCTTTAAAGCACCTTTTTTCCTAAGGCAGACCATCTTTGACTTCTGTATGAAAAGTGTTTTCTATTATTGCTCAGGCAGTGGTTGTGTAACTGCTCTCTCTCATTTGTTTTAGATTAAGTAAATTTTTCTTTAGTCTCTTTCTCATGGGATGAGGGATTCCATTATGCTTCTTAGTGAGTCATTTAAAATCACACACGTAATTTCTAAAAACCTCCTTCTTTCAGGCTGTCTCAGCTTAGATTCTCCAACGATATAACCTAGGTCTGATGCTATTTATTATGTTCATTATAATTTGGAAATGAACAATAACATAGAGAAATCAAAATTTTCTGGTGAGGTAAAATAACTTACATTATGACTAACAAAGACTGCTAGAAACTTCTGAGGGTTCTTCTGCAGTTAGGTGAACTGGTGACACTGTGACAGATAAAATTCATTGTTGATGAAAGCAGTGTAATTTACACTTTGGAACAATATACTCTTCAGTAGTGAACCTAAATTAATTGTGATCAACTGGGAAAATGAGCTATATATAGGTTAGTGAAAATCTTCACTGAGGAAATTGGGTAAAAATTAATACTCAGAAAGTTATAACATTACTGGAATAAATCAGTAGTGTTCTAGAATTGATTATGGTATTTCAGGTTAGGTTCATCATATCTGAGAAAGATTTAACGGTCACAGAGGGACTCTGAGACAAGAAACATATATGTCTGGAAAAGCTATATGGAAAAAATAATTAAGGCAGCTTAGAAAAGTGATAAATCAGAATGTACTGGGAGTTATAAAAGAAAGTAGAAAAGATCAAGTCGGCATCTTTTAACTGAAGTTGTAACACAAGAACGAGGAAATGTGTTGAATTAAATAACACGTTTAAACTGTTTACACATTTTTTATATCTAAAGAGTAGTTCCTTATACAGTACACTTGACAATTGGACCTGTGCTGTAGCATGTCAGACTAAGAATGAAGAGTAAAAGGATTAAACATTTATGTGGACAGTAAAAATAGCTACTATTGTTAGGAAGAGCATAAAAAAATTCAGGCGATCTAAACCTTTGTACTTTAGGGAAATAAAAACCCTGTAACAGATGGTGGAAATCTGACTTGGGATTGGTTTCATGTACTTATTAGAAGCATTTGGCTCTTACCATTCTGGAGGCAGAATAGTGATCTGCCATGAAGACTGTTCTTACTGAAGGAGGTTTCTTATGCTGAGATATCTTAGTCATTCTATGATTTGAAAAGACTGTTACCACGTTCTTTAGTTCCTGTTACTTCTTTTTATTAACATTCATACATCATCTTTTACACTGCAGTAATTGGAGAATGCATTCTGCCTCTGCAGCTTAAGGTCTTAAAATGACTGAAACACTCCTGACTTTGTATACTTCTTACTAGGTCTACCAAGCTCTTAAGCTTCAGAAAACAATGAAGTGTCATCCTTGGGCAGTATGAAAAAGGTGCTACTATCAATCAGAGCCTGCACACAAGTCAAAATTTTATTGCACATCTTGCATATTTTCACAGCATCAGACTGTGGGATCAAATACCTGAGAATCTTGGCTTTTCTTAAATCTAAACCTCTATCCTTGGGCTTTTGAAAGTAACACTCAGCTGAATGTTAACGTGATATCAGAATGTGAATAAAAACTACCAATGTATTCAGTGTATCTTAAAACTTCTGAGATTTTAAATAAATTATGGTATTATTTTTTGGCTCACCTAAAATCCCCACCTTTTCTCTCTTATAGCTATTTCCTCAACCTGGCATCTAACTAAAAACTCGTCTTGGTTTTAAGGGTTTGTCTGCAGAGTACTTCACTCTGCATGTCTCTTTTTCTTCTTTTTTTTGAAAATAGAATTATTTTGTTTGGTGTGTATATAATTAATAAATGCATAATTTTAAAAAAATGACTATTTAAATGAATTCTCAGAATAATCAAAATATATTTAGACTTTTTGGTTTTTGTCTTGTATGTAGAAGCAGATTCTTGTTACGTTTGGTTAGCTAACATCTGTATGGTAGCTAATTCTTGACTTAACTTGATAATTTTTTACATAATATACACATGGGCACAGAAAAAAGAGTGAGCAGATTCAAAGGTCTTGACTTAATTGGTCTCTCATATAATGTATTAATTTCATACAGCATATAGCTTCAGAAACTGAATATTAAATTGGACCTGGTATCTCTTTTTAGCTCTCTTCTTGTATGAACCCAGGTTTTTATAGTGTATTAATGCTTGCATTAGCATTACAACACTGGGAAAATCCATATATAAGGAGTAGGACAGAATAAAGCCAGAGGAAGAATTTAGGTGAAAGAAAGAAAGAAGGAAGTTTCAAGATTATTCCACATTATTTTCTTAATCATTACAAGGTTACCAGAGAATGATGAGGAAGATGTTTAAGCTGGCATACAAAGGACAGACTAGTTTGCAAACTCAAGAAAGGTTGAGTGAGATTGTCTTCTAATGCTTTTATTAAAATTTTAGTATCTTCCTTCTGATTGCATTGGAAGGCAGCAGAACTAGAGTGTCCCTACAGAGATCAATTGAAATAATCAATTAATATGATGAATTTATAAGCAATTTTCACTGTTATAACAGAAAAAAATATTTTCGTTTGTGAGATAAGAAGAAATAGCAAAACTTCACTGAAACTAGCTGAACTAAATTGGGATTACATGATTATCACTTGCAAGGCACAAAGAATCTCACTTGTGCATCACTTTCGTGAGGAAACTGAAAATCATGACTAGGTTGTAGTAACACAGCTTCAGGCTGACTTAAAGCGTGGGACAGTCAATTTGTCAAGTGGATCATGTCATGAATAACTGGTTGGAAGCTATTCTTACATACTTATCTTTGCATTGCTTTTCCATAGGAGTAATTTCTCTCAGAAGAGACCTTTAATTCCTTGACTAAGAGCTAAGTTCCACAGCTGGCCTGTGTCTTTAACTTATAGCTGCTCTTTGTCTCATGTCTTGCTAATATTCAGTACAGGCAGGGTCTTAGGTTGTTATGTCAGTTATTCAAGGTTTTGGAAAACATAAGATGCAGATGGAACAAGTAGTGTTTTCTAAATTCATTGTCTGACTTAAAGCCGTGAAATATTATGGTCTTTAAATGTATGCACCAGGACTCTGACACTATAGGTATATATTCCATACTGTAAAGGAAGTGTTTATGAGATTTCAGTATTTTGA